CTGCCGCTCCGCGGAAGCGCCGCGCGCACTTGGGGAGACTGTCCGGGGCCCCGAACCGGGCAATGCCTGAAGTGCTGGCTGCAAGCAGGCGAAGGCGGCGCTGGGCTGGGGTTTGGATCTGGTCTCAGTTCCCGGCACGGCCACAGAATCCTCACGTGTGGCTTTGAGCGAGCCACCTAATCATCCTCCCGTGTCGCCCTTCCCCGTCAGTGACATGGAGCTAATGCTGCCCTTTCCCTGCCCTTTGGGGGTTTTTTTAAAGGGAAAGTAATGGGTGGAGCCTTCCAGAAAGTGGGAGCCCAAAGGCCCATGCTTCTTCGTGGCTGCGCTCCTGCCCCATCTGCCTGAGCCCCTTCCCCCAGCCAAGATGGTGCAGAGTCATGGACCCTCCACCTGCTAGGGTTGGAGGGACCAAGAGCAACCCCCAGTTGGTGTCCCTACCCTGCAGCCTCTTCCCCCATGCATCACATACAGGTGGAGGGTTCATAGGTCCCCAGAGCTTCCCGGGGAAGCTCCTGCTCCAGCCTAGCCATAATAAGAGTCAGATCTTACAAAGCTATCCTTGTGCAGGGGCTCCAAGACAGGAACACAGGCCCAAGGGCTGCTCTTGGCATCCCCACCCCGGACAAGTGGTCCTCAACTGCCCAGGCTCCCCAGTTGGCCCAGAACCCTTGGCGTGGGGTGGAAGGCATTTGGCATATCATTGATGGAGGGAAATGGGCAGGACAGGCTTAGCCACTTTCAAAAAGTGGGAGGCTCCTGTCATTCTGGTGCTGATTAGTGATTGTTAATGTATATACTGTGTCCAGGAAGTTCTATACCAGTCATGATTGAACTCTATTATAATACAAAATAATAAGATACATTTTAATAATTAAAAGTTCTATTTTCACTTGATGGTATCCCTTAAAATAATTGGTAAAACGTTATGACTAAATATTGTCAGTGTTTGTCGTAATTATATTAACCTACTTCAATAATCTGTTTTGTTATTAGCTAATTCAGAAGTTATAATTAAATGTTGCTAGTGCTGTTAATTGCCCTATGTCCCAGAATAACTGTAACACAAGCCATTTAAACTTTGAAGTAGGAATAAGAGATCCTCCGGAATAGGGCTTTCTTCCGGAGGATCGGGCCAGTCTAGACGCTTTTTTCCGGCTTTTCCCCAAGCCGGAAAAAAAGCGGCGGACATCTTTATTTAAATCCCACGGGGGATATTTAAATCCCCTGCGGATTTCCCTATTCCCACTTTCAAAATTAGCATGCCCCTTCCGAAGAAGGGGCCAGTGTAGACGTAGCCAATGTGTAATACACAGATGTAATTGATTTCTCTTATTGGGCTCTGCTACCACAGGAGGTTCTAAATTGCACATAATCTGAATAGCTGAGGCAGCTCCACCTAGCCAGGTAAAGGCAGCTTTAAATATAGATGGGTTCTTGCAGAACTCTACGGCTGCGTCTAGACTGGCAAGTTTTTCCGCAAAAGCAGGTGCTTTTGCAGAAAAACTTGCCAGCTGTCTACACTATCCGCTTGAATTTCTGCAAGAACACTGATGATCTCATGTAAGATTGTCAGTGTTCTTGTGGAAATACTATGCTGCTCCTGTTCAGGCAAAAGCCCTCTTGCGCAAATGCTTTTGCACAAGAGGGCCAGTGTAGACAACTCGGTATTGTTTTGTGCAAAAAAGCCCCAATCCCGAAAATGGCGATCAGGGCTTTCTTGCGCAAAACCATGTCTAGATTGGCACGGACACTTTTCCATAAAAAGTGCTTTTGCGGAAAAGCGTCCGTGCTAATCTAGACGGTTTTTTCCCCCAATGCTTTTAACGGAAAAACTTTTCCGTTAAAAGCATTTGTGAAAAATCATGCCAGTCTAAACGTAGCCTACCAGAATAGGCTGCTGCAGGTACTAGGGATGCAAAAGGTTAAATCAGGCATGTCCAAAGTCCGGCCCGCGGGCCAACTGCGGCCCGTGTTCCGATTTAGTACGGCCCCCGCTTCCTCCCCCTCTCCTGGCTCCCCGGCGCTCTTTTGAACTGGCGCGCCCAGCACGCCGCTTCCGGCTGCGCCACCGCCGCCCATGGCCTCCGCGGTCCTAGAGCCTGCCCTGTAGGGCACGTCCGCAGCCCCGCTCCCCCGCTCGGCTGCGGGGTTGCCCTGCCCCCCCGCCGCCGCCCATGGCCTCCGCAGTCCTAGAGCCTGCCCTGTAGGGCACGTCTGCAGCCCCGCTCCCCCGCTCAGCTGCGGGTTCGCCCTGCCCCCGGGCCGCCATGAGGCCGGTGTGCCCTGCGCTCTCCGCCCGCCTCCGACCCTGCGGGCCCGCCGCCTTGGGGCTGAGAGTGCGGGGACGGCCCTCACGCATGTTCACTTCTTCAAATCTGGCCCTCTTTGAAAAAAGTTTGGACACCCTGGGTTAAATGGTAAGCAGTACCCTTAACAGATGATGCTTAATGATTCTGGTTAACCTCTGTGGGCTGAAGCAGGTCCCTATCTGCTCCAGCCCCACGGGGTCCACCATAGGCAGGGGCTGATGCCTGTCCGCGGCAGGCCGGGCGTGTCACAGGCAGAGGCTGCTCCATCCTGGGTGTGGCGGGGAGATCCTCAGCTTAATTGGTTTGCCAGTTAAACATGAAATAAACTTCTGGTTTAACCAGTTAATCAATTATATGGGATTTTACATCCTCAGAGGATACCTGGGAAGATGTAGATTCAGGATAGTTTGACTATATCCTTTTCCTGGCCAGCACTTCCTCTTTGTTGATGACCGCTCTCCCTCTCAGGAGAGAAGAGGTTATGGGATTCTTAGCTGTAGCACTCCTATAGATATGTATTTGGTTAACAGCTACCTATTGAATGGGTCTGTCTGCATGAATCCTAGAATAAACTGATTCCCTTTGTTGAAAATTTTCAGGAATAAATGATGATGGCATACATCAGGGTAATCAATAGGCAGACGGCAGACCAAATCCAGACTGCTGGACTCTTTTGAACATACCCACAAATCTTTGTATTTACTTATTGTAATTATTGTTATTTTCTCTGGAGTCTGGACCTTGACTATACTGTTACCAAGAAATGTGGACCTTAATGAAAAATAGTCTACCCCAGCCAACATTCCCTCTAATTTTTCCCATCCATATGCAGAATAAATGTTATATGTGTTGAGGCGTGTGCAGATGTGCACCATCCATAGAAACACGTGCTGTCAGCTGTGGGTGCTCTGCTAATCAGCTAGGCAGCATTTGAATCTCTCCTGGATGGCTGCCCAAATACTGAGCTTACAGGGAACACTGACCCCAGCCTACATGTATATAGCAGCTTTCCTACACAGGATCCAAAATTACTTACATGTAATTCGGAATCAAAATACAGTACCCTCTAAGATGGGGAGGATGGCAGCCACACCAATAATGATTATTTGCCCAAATAAGGACAAAGGACACAAAATAGAAATTTTAGACAAAAGGCATTACAGGAAACCCTTATGCAACAATTCAATTGATATATTTTTTAGCTGTTAATTAGGAAGTATTAGCGGTCTTACGTAATCATTACCAGGGCTCGCCAAGCCGCGGCGTGTGGTGTTCTGCACATGCGCAGATCGTTCTGCACATGCGCAGATCGCCCGACCCCGGCTCTTCCAGGTTGTAATCTACTCACCACGGGCGAGTAGATTACATAGATTGTCAAGCCCTGATCGTTACCATACAAGTACCAAAATACAACATTTGCCATGGTATAATAGTACCTCAATTTGCAGAGGTATTGTCCAATTTAAGCACTGGAAAGATAAAGGGCTGAATCACTTATTTAAAGCACACTAACAGCAGGTCTCTCTTCCTGTTATATGGCTTCCCACACAAACGTACACATTTGTATAATTTTATTACATCTTACAATCATTAAATATTGAGAATTGCAGTACTTTGACTATTCTAATTTTGAATCTAATATTCATCGTTATTTTAACAGGAAAACTGAGATATGCCAACAACAGCAATTACAAAAATGATGTAATGATCAGAAAAGAGGTATGGTATTTGAGTATTTTAGTAAACATATCTTTGAATACTCTGCAAATAAAGCTGAACCAAATAAATGGTTTTTGTGAATCTATAGAATAGGCTTTTAACACTTAAAATGAGCAGTTCTTTTAAGATGCTTTTTAGTTATAATTACTTGGGCTGTTGCGGCATTTCAAAGGGGCAGCACCAAATGGAACCCGGGGTGAGCTCAGTGTAGCGCTGCTTTGAAACTCTGAGGTGGCGTTTCAAAGGGGCAGTGCTGCACAGCTGAGCTGGATCACCTGTGTGGTGCTGCCGCTTTGAAGTACCCTCGTCTTCCACCCTCACCTCCACCCTCACCCCCGATAGAAGCAGCAAGGGCAAGGAAATTGACTAGTCATTAACATCCTTATAATACACTCATTAGATTCCATTGCTATACACCGAGCATTTTATCATTCATGCTGGGTCCATCCTAGATACAACAAAGAAAAATCTACTTCATAAATAGATTAGACATAACTTTTCTACAACTAGTTTTTGGAATTGAATAATAGCCTTCTTCTGCAAATCCTTACATCCATTCATAAGTATGAAGTATTCAGTATTCCAACTGATTTCATGTTCAAGGGCTGTTTAACTGAATAAGGGTTTTCAGGGTTAGGCTTTATGGCCATATATATATTTGTAAAGGAGGAAATGTCAAGGCAGCTCTCAAACTATTTCTGGGAGTTGACAGTTCATTTTGTTTGTGTATGTGCATTAAGTATACTCATAAGAGCTTTCTGAATTTTGTGAGCATATGTTCTTGTTTAAAAATTGAGGGGCATGAAATACTTTAAAAATGTCTTCTAATGTTTGGAAGTTGACATGTACTTTCTTATGCTTATGCATCTGCTCGTTGGTATGCGTTTAACTGTTGTTCGTAGGCCTATGTACACAAAAGTGTGATGGAAGAACTTAAGAGAATAATTGATGACAGTGAAATCACAAAAGAAGATGATGCCTTATGGCCTCCACCTGACAGAGTTGGTCGGCAGGTTAGTGTTTAGTGGCTTTCCACCTGCATTATTAACATAATTTTAATTTGGATTTGGGTGATGCTTACCGGTAACTGGTTAATTGTTGGCCTGGCCAAAGCAGAACTGGACCTCACCTTCTACTTTCCCATAGCAGAGCACTGTGGGCCCAGTCTGAGCAACTACACAGTGCAGCGAGGCACTGCTCCATGGTTAACCAGTTAAACATAGTATTTAACAACTTTTTAAACAACAATTTACATCCCTACTTGAATCTTACTTTTAGCAGATCTGTAAATATGTGAAACTTAAAACTGAGTAGTAGAGCAGTTTACTCTCAAATTTTGAGTGCCTGCGTGTTTGTCAGTTATGATAAGATTTGTTTTTAAATGTAAGACCATTTTATCCTGCTGCTTAAACTGATCCTATGAATTAGGGATGTGGACAGATGATGCTTATTGGGTACTGGTTAACTGGTGCCCAAGAGCAGCCCCCTGGGGCTGGAAGTCTCCTTCCAGCGGGTATGCTTAGTTGGTTTACTAGTTAAACATTAGGTTAACGAACGTTTCACTGGTTAACTAATCAATCGGGATTTTACATCCCTACTATGAACTAGTATAATATCCAAGCAGTTCTGCTATTTGACTTTTTTTTTAATGTTCTAGGAGCTTGAAATTGTAATCGGTGATGAACACATCTCTTTTACCACATCAAAAATCGGATCACTTATTGATGTAAATCAATCCAAGTACGTAGTCTGTATAGAATAATTCCAGTTTTGCCAAAATGGTACCATTAATCGGGAATCTACTGTATCTACAATCACTTATCAATCTACATTTGGAGCATAATCATTATCATTCAAAAATGGCTATTGTCTCCAACTGCTTCTTTTGGATGATCCTCTGTTAATTATTATACTGAAGAATCTCATTCTTTTGTAATGTAGCAAAATTACCTGTAAAGTAATTTGCACCCCACATCAATTAATTATAAATTGTCTGTGTATACAACTCCCCAAACATATTAAGATTCCGAAAAAAAAATTGTAAACTTATAGTGAAATCCTCATTCAATTAAGTTTATGGGAAAATTCCCATTTACTTCAATGGTAACCATAGTTCATCCCTAAGCTAAACTGAAAAGATTCTGTAATACTTGTTCCTAAAAGTCTTAATGACAATATTAAACTAATGCATCAAATAAAAAGGCTGTACATCTTAAAAGTGAAGTAGTGAATATGAGCCAAACTTACAGTATATGGCTTTCAGGCTGAGGGATTGTCTCCACTGGCTGGAGCAATTGATCTACTGGGGGTTGATTTTAGCACAGGGGTAGGCAAAAGGCATCTAGTGAGTCGGATCTGGCCTGTAGCCACCCGGTCCGTATGCTTACTACACAGAAGCTACACCTACTTTAAACAGCAGGCTGGCTGCTAATTGCTATGCAGTCTGGGCAGGGAAGAGAAAGCTTTGTGCACTGTCCCTGCCCCAAGGCAAAATCCCTCAGCTCCCATTGGCCAGTTTCTGGCCAATAGGTGCTGAGAAATGTTGCTGAAGGCAAGGGCAGTGAATGAAGCCTCATCACACCCTCCCTGTGCTGGAGCAGGGCCATTTGGAGCATCCAGCCCAGTGTACAAGCAGGGAGCTTATCTCAGGTTCCTGCAGAGCTGCTGGCTGGGAGCCCCTTAGGTAAGCGCCTCCTAGCAATAGCCTGCCTCTGGCAGCCTACCCTTTCTTTCCCCTCAACTACTGGCCTCAGGCCACCACCCAAACCCTATGTATCCCCTCACCACCTCCTCCAGGTCACAACTCCCTCCCAAACCATGCACCCCCCTCCTATACCACTCCCCCAGGCCAGAATCCTTTCCTGCAAACATATCCTTTCCTGACTCTGCACCCCATTCTCCTTCCCCACATCACCACCCAAACCCTCTGCAACCCCTTTCCCCCCCTTCTCCCAGGTCACAACTTCCTCCCAAACCCTTCACCCCCTCCTACACTCCTTCCCCATGACAGAATCCTCCCCATAACCACTCCTGGACCCTGCACCCCAAGGTCCTGCCCCAAACCATAACCCCCTCATTCACCCAAACTCTCTGACCCCACAGTCCCTCCTGCACCCCAGTCCTCTATCCCAAACTCCCTTCTACACCCCACCCGCTGTCACAGAAGTGCGGTCCTTGACAATGTACCAAAATCTTAGTACCCCTTCATTAAAAATTATTGCCCACCCCTGTTTTAGCAGGTCTCAGATAGGGATGTAAAAGGTTAACTAATTAAATGGTTAACCTATAAGCATCAGCTTATCTAGATGTTTCCGTTACGATTACACACTGGCTCCATCCCCAGAGAGCTGGCTTTGCTATGAGCTCTGCAGTATAAAGCTCACATATAAGTTTTATATTGCAGAGCCCACAGCACATGTAACCACTAGGATTTTTAGCAATTACCTGGTTACATTTTTAAACAACTTTTTACATCCCTAGTCTAGAGGAGACCACTAAATTGATCATCAATCTCTCTCCCATCAACGGCGGTACACCACCAGAACAAGGAGAGTAAGGGGAGTTGATGGGAGAGTTTCTCCTGCCTACCCAGTTCAGTATTTATCCTGCAGTAAATAGATTTAAACTGCATCAACTTGAGTTACACAATTTGTGTTACTTTAGTTGTGTAGCTTAGAACAACTTTTCCCTGTACTGTAGGCCTGACCATAGCTTATAACTAGAGACCTGCATGGATACAAAATTTTGTATCTGCGAAAGTCAGCTGCAGGTGCAGACACTTTTGGATATCCATAAATTTGCAGGATTCTAGATACAAAATTTGTATCCCCATCCATATCTGTAAAAATGAGCTGTGAATATCCACAGCCGCGGGTGTGTATACCATGGATATGAAGTGGATATCCATGGATTTGCAAGACTACTTAGAACTATCAATTTATCACAGTAAAAATTTGTACCAGCCAAAACTATGGTGTTTTAAGACAGCCACTCATGAAAAATCTTGGCACTGGGGATTTTTTTATCGGTTTAGTTTTAGGAACTGCTCTTAAAAACTTGCAACTTAATGTTTGTTTTTTGTACTTTAGGGATCCGGAAGGGCTACGAGTGTTTTACTATCTGGTCCAGGACCTTAAATGTCTAGTCTTCAGTCTCATTGGATTACATTTCAAGATTAAGCCAATTTAAATTGTATAATTTTGAATTAGTATTGTAATGCTGAGGGGTGGGACACTTTCATTCTTTATCTTTTCTTGGATAGAACTTATGTATGTTAGAAATTTTTTTTACAAGCTGTCAGTGAAAGTCTTTAATAAAAATGGTGAAACCTGTATATTTTTAATTTAAAGGTTGTCCATGTAATCAAAATCTCAATCTTTTAACACTGCTTTCTTTCATTACTGTATAGCCAATATGAGTGGCTTTGAGTTCCTGTAGATCAGTGGTCTCTAACTATTTTAAGCACAAGATCACTTTTTGAATTTCTGGCTAAGTCTACACTATATAGGGTTGGTTTTTTTGGAAAAAGCTACACAAATTGAGCTCCAATTTGCAGGGCTTTTACCGATTTGCTTTTTCGGAAAAGCCTCCTCTTTCAAAGGAGCCCTCATTCCTCGTAGAACGAGGTATACAGGGCTCCCCGAAAGAGCATGTCTGCTCTTCCACAAAAATAACCCCGAAGAGCAAACATGTTCCTTGGACACAGCAGAGTTTTTTCCAGGATACCAGAAGTATCCCAGAAAACCCCCACAGTGTAGGGATACCTGGGATACCACTCCCCAAATGGGATCAAAACCCCCAATGAATTACCTGGGTAAGCTCCCTTTAGCAATGAAAGGGAAAATGTACACGCTGGTTGCCCCTCCAGGTAAGAATATTTACACTGGGTTTGATAGAAAATAAGTGATTTTATTAAGTACAAGCAGCAGGATTTAAGTGAGAACAAGCAGAACAAAGTACATTACAAATCAAAAGAAACAAATACATTAGGCTATGTCTACACTCGCGGCTTCTTGCACAAGTATGGCCGTTCTTGCACAAGAATCCACAGCACGTCCACACTGCCCGCCTGCTCTTGCGCAAGAAGATTTATAGTACGGCATGGTAAGAGAGGGCTTCTTGTGCAAGAGCTACGCTCTTTTTTAACAGGTATAAGCCCTCTTGCACAGGAGCTCTTGCGCAAGAGGACAGTGTGGATGCTCAGCAGGGTTTTCTTGCGCAAGAAAGCCCTATGGCTAAAATGGCCATCAGAGCTTTCTTGCGCAAGAGAGCGTCCACGCTGCCATGGGTGCTCTTGCGCAAAAGCACAGCTCGTACATGGCAGTGTGGACGTTTTCTTGCACAAGAACCCTTGCGCAAGATGCCGCCAGTGTAGACATAGCCCTGCAGTCCCACATCCACAAGCCTGTGGCTTTCTCCAGAATTAGCTGAAACCCAGTACAAACTTTTCAAACTCACCCTAAAACCTCTTTTCCAGCTGCTCCTCCAAACCAGGGCTGTCTCCCCACCTTGGGCTCTTCGGCTCCTTCCTTCAGCTGCAGCCCAGCCAAAAGACCCAGGCTCCTGTTTTCTTTTTTAAAGAATTGAGGCCATTCCCTACCAACCACTGCTCAGACTTAAAGAGAAAAGAGATTGTTTAACAATTGCTCCTCAAGTCATTGAGGATAACACCCCTCATTCACACATTTAAAACCCACAAAGTTTTCCCCACTGGATATGTCTAATTTTACCCACAAAAATTATATGTACATTAAAGTAAGATAAACAGAACCAGTGGATCATGACATGAAGATTGATGGGTTACATGAAATAATTTGCTCAAAGCACCTTTGAGTCATGTATATTCATGTCCATGAGTCCATTTCCTAAAGCATGGGGAGGGGAGGCCCATCACAATGCCCACTGTTTTAACACCAGAAGACATTATTAGATCATCTACTCTGATCCTTCCCCTACACATCACATGTCTCATGTATGGTGCAGTAGTGAGTTTTGAAACAAAGAGTACTCCAGAGAGAGAGAGAGCTGATCTTCACTGGAAGTTATCAAGAGATGGAGATACCACAACTCCCTTGGTAATTTGGAGATTCCCTCCCGTGAAGCCACATGGGCAGACCCATTGATGGGGAAGGGAAAAGGAGGCAGTTGCCCTAGGGCCTGGTGATTCATAAGGGTCTGGGTCACCCAGCCACTGCTACAGCAGCAGCCAGGACCCTTTAAATCACCGCTGGAGTGCCACTCCACATGCCTCGGGCAGGGAGAGGCACTGCCATTTGGGCAGCACTGAGTACTGGCTGCTCTGATCCCTCCCCTTCCACGTGAGGCCCTGTTCCTTCTGAGACCCCCTACCTTGCCCACGGGCCTGTGGAAGCTGTTGACCCCCTTGCACATGGGTCTATGAAATTGCCTCTGCCCTGCAGCCTCTTTTATCTGCCCACTGTCATGAACATTCTGTGAGGTTACTGCCCCCCAACCTTCTTTGACCAATAAGCTGAGCCTGGAGGAAGGACTTACTCCCCAGCTGCTCCAGGGTGACAATGGACCCGAGGCCAGGCACAAATCTGGCTGGAGCATGCTCCCCTAGAAGGCCTAGGCTCACCACTGAACCAGAAAAGAAGATTGTGGTTCTCAAACTTATCTCATTCCCTTCTCTGATTCTGCCTCACCTCCCCAACAGGAATATTCCTAACCCAGAGCCCTTGCAGTAGCAGATCCTGCATCGTGTCAGAACTAGCCTGCCTACGTCCAAAGTCAGGAAGCTGTAGTCAGAGGTCACTTACCAGAGGTCACATTTAGGGAGAGCAACGGTGAATCAAAGCAGGGCTGTGCAGTATCTTATGGCACTGGCTCTCTCCTGGGACATTTTGGACCTCATCCAGAAGCTGATGTGCTGTGGGGGAAGGAGGCTAGTCAGGGTCAATGGGCAGGTGCACATGCTGTGCAAGTGAGCCGCTCGCCATCCCCAGAAGGCTGAGGCTTTGTGCTCAGGGTGAAATATCTGACTCAGGGACCCCTGAACTTTAGAAGAGGATTGTTGCACCCAAAACAAAGCGTGTACCATGCAGATGACAACTTGCAACTGTCTCTCTAGCTTGGACTAATGTTCACTGTTGAGGCAAACCCCTCCCCACTCTAAAGTCCTTGTTGGGATGAAGAGAGCAACTGTGAGGACACTCCCCCCATCCCTGTCCCCCCCCCCCATTCCCCCAACATGTCAGACTCTATATAAGAGAGGGGTTAATACTTTGGACAGCCTCCTACTTCTCTAGGAAAGAGACAGTGACTCTTCTCTGCGAGCCACCTTCTGGATCTCGTGTGGATGGGATGAGGCTGTCATTCTCCAAGCCAGTTTGGGACCCTATAGATAGTGCCCATCTGAACCAGAGTGAGCTCTGGCTTGAAGTCCCAGCTCCTTCCTCTGTCCCTTGTCGGAGGAAGGGCCCAATGTTGATTGCACTGACTGCCCTAACCAAGAATGGCCCCAAGGGATCCCAGTGAGCAGGACAGACTGGAAAACAGATGTTCTAGTCTCTCCTTCCCAGGCCTCTCCAGTGTCAAGGTAAAATTGTCTCCCACTCCTCCTCAATGAGCTCACCTCCAAGATGTATTAGAGCATATTTCTATCTGGGGAATCTGCCAGAAGTTTCTCCAGAACAGCATCCAGCAGGTTTGCCAAGACCTTGTGCAGAGCCTACTAACAAAGGGAAAGGAACAGGTCAGAGGCTAAGCCTGCTACTGGGCAGTAAGAAGTGCGAAGCTCTGGTGAGACCCCCTGTCAGGGCTGTTCCCCAGTCTGGCACTCCGAGTGCAGAAGGTGAGGGCCTGCAAGAGACCTTAACAAAACCCCTTGCCTCTACAGGCTCTGCTTACAAAAACTCCCCAGAGTCACAGATTCACTGACTTTAGGGGGTAGCTGCCACCATTGATTTATCCCTAAAAACAGGGAGGAACACTTGAATTCTCCCCTCAGGCGTACCCAAGCTCTTTTACCACTAGAGCGCTTGAAAAACAAGAGAAAAAAAACTGCAGTCTATGGTAGCTGACCTCTTTATCTGAGGCATGCAAACACAGACAGACCTTCTGTTACCTTCCAGAACACAAGAATCAAATCACCTTAAAAAAGTGATTTTTATTACAAAACAAAAGCTATATTTGATAAAGTACACTTAATTGCTAGGTGTTACAGAGCAACTAAGGAAAACAAATTTAAACACAGAGAAACTCTCTATGAACAATTCCTAGATGGTGAATGAGGGAGGGGAGGCATAGATTCACACAGAACAGTTCAAGCCAAATCACAAATATAAAGAAAAATAACCTTTTCCCTATTTTTTTTTATTCACAATTCCTTCTAGGTTAAGTGCACTTCTATGCCCCTAATTCCTTGAAGGCATGGTAGTTCTGCCTGGGTTTTAATCATTCTGTGTCTCTCAACTCATGGTTTAACTCTCCCACACAAAGAAAACAGGCATGGTATCATATACAATTCATATTTCAGCATTCTATCCCCATGGGTTCTTTTGGCTCGCTGCCAACACTCTTGCTAGCTACCTGAGTTTAACCCCTTAGTCATGGGGTGCTGGCCAGCACGCCTCCTATCCATCACACCCCCCAAACACATACACTGGCATCTTTCACTCACATCCTACTGTAGGTTTTGTCCCTAACCATGTATTGTTTCTCTAAACCAGGGGTCTCCAACCTGTTTAAGCATGAGATCGCTTTTTGACTTTAAGTGCAATCAGAGATCTACCTGAAACCCAAATACCCTGGCCCCGCCTCCTTTGTGCCCCTTCTCTAAGACCCTGCCCCTGCTCACCCTGCTGGGGCAGCGGGTTGGGGTGCAAGTTCTGGTCTTGGGCTAAGGAATTTGGAGTGTGAGAGGGGCTCTGAGCTGAGCTTGGGGCAGGCAGGTGGGAATGCTAGGTGCAGGCTCGGAGAGGCATTTGGATGCAGGCGTGCTCGGGGCTAGGGGTGCAGGAGGGAATTCATGACTTGGGTAGAGGTTTGGGATGTAGGTGCCAGCTGGGCAGTGCTTACCTCAGGTGGCGGTGCAGTGGGGCTACGGCCCTGCACCACTCTCAAAAGCAGCCAGCAAACTCCCTCCATCCCAAGCCCTGCTGTGTCCCCTCTGTGCTCTGTGGAGACATGATAGAGTGGGAAAGGGGGCACCATGACATCAGCGCCCCTCCTCTGCACAGCAAGCAGGAGGCTCCCAGGGATGGCGGGGGAGGCAGCTCCAAGGCAAAGGGCAGGAGCTGCGCAGCAGTGGAGAGGGAGGCAGCTGAAGTGCTGCATTTGATAGCTTCTTGGCCAAACCAATCAGGATCACCTGTCAGAGGCTCCAAG